TCAAACTTTTGTCCTTGCATTTGCCAGGCAGGCGCTTAGACCACCGAGCTATCTTCCCAGCCCTAGCTTAGCTTTTTATTGTCTACTAAGATATTCAAACGTTTCATATCTAGTTACAGCAAAACTTTTCCAGAAGAAGATATTACAAGTGCATTAGTCTATGCTTTCCTCTGGTCTGAGTGGGGACTGTGCTGGAACCATGGGAATCTGTAACTGGTTGCTGTGGGTTCCGTTTAACCTTGGACCTCTTTATTTCTTTGTTGGGAGGAAGGTTAGGGAATATATTTTTATTCTTCAATAATGTTTGAAAAGACAATAAATATATGTTATGCATGGATTAAAACAAGCAGCTTCGCACATGTCATTTTGCAGCCCTTGGAGTTGCGCTTTTGTCAACTACACACTTGCAGGCATGAGTTTGGACCTTTGCTCATTTCTCTTAGATGAGACTCTGGTGTTAATCACAGGAAAGGACCAGGTGGTTTGCTACTGTAACACTTGATATAGAGATAGGATGAGGAGACTAAGTAATTCCTCCCAAAATCCTGAGATACGAACAGCTAGTACTTCACAAATTAACCCTTTCAGCAGTCACTCCTACTACTTGATTAGAGATACACAGTTTGCTTTGTAAGATTATCACCTGTCATCTCTTGGGTTATCTGACTCAAGGTTATCTACATCTTGAGGGAAGGAATTTTGTCAGTAATTTTCTCAATTTTTGATGTATTGTTACTCTTTCTAGCTCAAATTTCTGTTGGTTATCTAAGGAATTTCAGAAGCAGTCATTAAGTTCCATAATATGCCTGGAAGCTACCTGTGAAATGGAAAGCATGAACTGCTTCACTTCAAAACCAAGAGCAACACTGAGAAACTCAAGACTGAGACGCTGACATGTTACAAACAAGCCCGTCACTGACAGGAGAGAAAGCCATTTGCCATACCATGCATTCGGTTGGACTTCACAAACTCTTTGTCTTCCTTGTCCACACTGATGGGACGCCTGGTAAACTTCTGAATGTTTTCATCAAGATACCTGCTCAGGTTCTCATCAAAGACTGTGAACAGGAGGTAAAACTCTTTGTCTATTCCTTTCTATGGAGAAGGAAGAAATGAAGATACAAAGAGTACATACTGCAAGAACTTCTAGCATTGCTTCACTTTTAAATTCTATACAACTTTATACATTTGTGTAAGGACTGACCAACGCTAGCCAGAGTCACTAGGTCACTTTGCAAATCAGGTCTCTGGGGATGACACTGATAGGTTTATAAGACACTCAGAGAAGTGTGTCCTTCTCATTATGCCCTTTCCTCTCCCTGCGTGACTTTCTCCCAGGACCCATATCCCTGCTCAGAAGCATTTGTACAGTGTGGCACCTACAGTGCTGCTCCTCTCCACCTGTCTCTTCTTACCACGGGTTGCCAAAGCCCGAAAAGGGAGGGAGAGAGGCATGGAGAGAACAGGAGATACAGACCCAAAGGAGGGAGTTTAACTCAATGGTTATGTGCAGAGCCTTAATTTTTTTAGAATAAGACTACTTTGCATTACTTCTAAGCTCATTAATCATAAGCAAAGTAGTCTTTAATTAAAATTGATTATTTATTTATTTGGTACAGGGTCTCACTACCCAGCTCAGACTCATAGTGTTCCTCCTGTCTCAGCCTACACAAAACTGGTACTACAGGTGTGCGCCACCACACCCAATTTTGGTGGCTAGCACAGGGTTCTGGGGCCAACATGGCATGCGGTACCAGGAATCAAATCCAGGTCCTTGAGCTTGCCCGGCAGGTGTTTAGATTGCTGAGCTATCTCCCCAGCCCCCCATAATTTTTTAAAAATGGTCTTATATCACCTACCCATATTCTATGACATCCATTCCCCTTTGGGAGAATTTTTATGACAGTTTACTGGAAAGGACTGCAAACATCTATTTCTATGCTCATCTCTCAACCTGCCTAGATGAAACCTGATCAAGTTTTTACCTATAGAGGAACTGACACATAATAATTATTTCTTGTGTTGAAAATAACTTTGGCTGAGTAGATTTCTCTCTCAACCAAATTCCAGGTGGAAGGTTGTTTCGGGTTAATATTTTCTCCCACAAATATTGTGTGAGTGGTCTTACTCTAAATAGTATTTGCTTGTGCAACAGCTTTCACCAAGGCACTCCTAGCAAACCTCAAATTTACTATTATATAGATACGGTGGAAAAAACCAGAATTACCTTACAAATATTTTCTGGTACTAAACTCTTTGGACCAGGAAGCAAGTTAGTATGCTGAGAAAACGACAGAGTTGGATACTGAAAGCCCTGTCTTCTGCTGACTTTCACAATTACTAGTTGTGCTTCTTAGATTATTAATTTCTTTGCCCTCCATTTTTTCAGCTTTAAAGTATTGATAAGCATTGTTTTACCTGATATTACTATTCAGACACAGTATAAATACTCAATTTATTATATGTATAACAGACATTTCTAGGGTGGGTCCATCATATGAGGAAATGAAAATCTGAGATGACCCAAGATGCTTCGTGTTCCCTAAACCTACAAATGTGTCTGATCCCAGAAGTGGTCTACATCATGCCAAACATCATAAAATATCCCACTTACATGAACTGGCCTGTTATTTGTGATTGGTGATGTAATTTGTTAAGTCAGTGGTTAAATGACTGGATTTTCTTCTTTACATAGTATATTTCATAGCATGTAGACATGGCTTGAAATGTTTTATTTTGCCCCACTCATCAGTGCAACATCTCAGCCTCTAAAAGTCAGGATTTGCAAGAAGTTATCTACACACTTTATTGTTCCTTCAGCCCAGGGATTAACTTCCAGTTCACAGAAATGAGTTTCAGTGGTTCTCAGCCTTGGCTACACATGGGGATCACCTGGAGATCTTATTTATTGGTCTGCAGCTTTTGAATAAAGGGTGTTTAAGGTGTCTCCTGGTATGGCCAAGTATGAGAAACCCTGTTGAGGAGAAGGATCCCAGTGGTATTCTACGTAGACCTCTGAAGATTTCAGAATCAAAGCATCACCAAGGCAACGAAATGGGCCAAATCCCAAATACAGTAAACAGAAATGCTAGGCTTCTGGGTAGGCACTGGTAGCTTTAGAAATTTAAATCTTAAAAAAACAAAAATGTCCTTATATAAAGACAAATTTCAAGAAAAAGGAAGAGAAATTGTTTGTGTAATTAACTTCATCATTATCCATCATTAACCATAGTGTTGATCTCTCCCACATACCACCCTGAATAGAACCTAGTGATGCTGGATAGCCTACCTGTGTCCCATCAGGCTTGAGAGCACCTCTTTTACAGACTAGCAAAGGCCCTACAAGGCCAGAGCTGGTGTCCTTGATAGGGTCAACAGCTGAGAAGTAAAGATAGGTCAGGCAAGGGGGATCACCATCTGTCGGGCTTACGCTTTCAGGCACTGTCCACCTGTAAGTGAAGGTTTCTCCTGGCTTAACATGTGCCCCTGGTTTCAAAAATCCTGAGGATATAAATGAAACAATTATTTAAAGCAACATCCAGGCTTGGGAGATAGCTCAGTAGAATAAGCACTTGCCTGGCAAGCGCAGGGTCCTGAGTTCAATCCCTGGTACCACAAAAAATAAAATAAAATAAAAAATAAATAAAGCAACATCCAAGAACAGTAAATTTGCTGGCCTGGGTTCCAGCCCTGGTATCCTCCTCTGATGATGACATAATTTGTAGGACAACTGTTTTCTTTTACATATCCTACCAAAGGCATCACGTCCAAAGTCTGCTGTTTTATGAGATAGAAACTTAAATCAAAAGATTGTCTCTTTTGTAAGCTCTATAATTTCTTTGTATCCAAGTACTATATTTGGGAAATATTTAAAAAATGATACTAGTCCATTCAGTAATAAAAATGCAAATCCATACATGCCTTCTGTGTGAAATATCTTGATCCTACAGAAGATACCCCAAAAAGTTAAATAAGAGACATATCTTCTAAAAGTTTGAAATTTGCGAGACTAAAGTAGGAAATAATCCAAATAACTGCGAGATAGCAGAAGTTAGTGTTCAAGATCACAAAGCTGATAAATGGTGAATTCAGGATTCAATTAAAGTCTGTTTGATCCTGTACAATTCTCACATTGTACAGCCAGAGAACATACTGGTATGTATGAGAGAACATAGGTTTCTCCCACTAGACAAGGCCACAACTTACTCTGCTTCTTGTCCTGTGCTTTGTAAAGACCATGAGTGAGATTGTGATGTTAACAAAAAAAACAGAAATCAGATTTCCCCTCAGCTTTCACCAGCAGAAAAATTCCTTGCAACCTGCAGCAGAGATTCTCTCCCTTTTAAAGAAGTAGAAGCGATGGGGAGAGGACCTTACATTGGCATCTACAACATTACTGAGGGGAAAGGAAAGAAACTAACATTTTCTAAGAACCGACTGGTCAGGCCCTGTTCTTGCAGCCTCTTCTTCCCCAAAGCGCTGTGAGATGAGTATTAGCATATGCATTTAATAAGTACAAAGAATAAGATTTAGAAAATTTAAATAGTTGCCTACACTCTCAGGGATGCTGAGGAAAGACACCAGGATCTGACACGGGTTCACCTACTTCTTAGTCCTTTGTTCACTCATACTGTCTCCTGCCTACACCCAGGCTGAGACTCACCATCCACATTTGGGGCTGCATCAGATGCCTTGTCATAGAGGACACCGTGGGGCAAAATGCTGTAGACTCTGTCAGCTTTGTTGGCAAAGGTCACTAGCAGGGTATCACCCACCTCTGCCTTGATGACTGGTCCTGGAAAATATTGAAAGGGAAGGGGGTGAAAAGAGATGAAAAGAGATGACTAGAAGCAGGAGAGCCATTCTCTGGATGCATACCCTCAACTGAAATAGTTCTCCCTTCAAAATATGAGTGTGGTTTTACTATACCAAGAATTCCAAGATGGGCTTCTGTCTCTGAGGGTCTCTTTCTTTGAGTAAAAGATGCATCAACATACTCTGTGTATTGAGCCTTCCAGTATTTTCCACCTATTCTGTTTTCCCCTTGGGTGAAGAAGAATGCAGAGGCACTGTGGAAAGTCATAAAACAAAACTAAGAACACATCCTGACATATCCACCAAATGCCTTCATGATGGAGTTCTCCCCATCAAAGACTGCACAGTCCTCTGCTAAATTCTCAGAAAGTCAACCAGCTTTAAAGGTCTGCAACAACTGGTTGGTGGTCAAGCTCATTTCTCTCTTAGTTGTCATACTTTCTTCCTGTAGAGGTCCAGTAATCAAAGAAGTCACAGATCAACTCCTTTCTTGCCAATACCAGAGTTCCAGATGCCATTGTACCAAATAATAAAGAGCTAACTCGTTTCTTTGCAGAAAAAGCATCTAGGGGGCTGGTGAGATGGGTCAGTAAAATAAGCACTTCCCTGACAAGTGCAAGGGCCTGAGTTCAATCCCCGGTTCCGCAAAAAAAAAAAAAAAAAAAAAGCATCTTGCTATCTCTTACCAATGGCAGTATGAACAGTGTCTACTTACAATAAACTCTTAGATATCTGGCACACTTATGGAACGGAACGTATAGTTAACCAAATTATTTAATTAACCAAGAGTGATAAACTATATACACTAAATATCAAATTTCAAAGTGTTGAAATACAATAACATAACTTTTTTAAAATAATAATATAACTTCTGACTAATACTATGTCTCTGCTATCTTACTTCCATCAACGGTAATGTCACTCTTGAAATCACTTCCCGTCCTTCTGTTTTGTCTTGTCCCCTTATCTCATTTACCCTTACTTTCTAAGTTTCTTTTGTATTCTCCTTTTTTTTTTTTTCCCCATTTGGCAGAACCAGGGATTAAACTCAGGCCCTTGCACTTACCAGGCAAGCACTTATTCTACTGAGCTATCTCACCAGCCCCTGTATTCTCTTTTTTAACACTCACTTTGCATCTTTCCCTTTCTTTTACCTCCACTAGTACAATGCTGGTTTGTGCCCTTTTCCCCTTGGGTTTGGGTCACTACATGAACCCCAAATGCATACTCTCCATCCTTTATCTTGCACTGGCTCATTCCTTTTTTTCTCCTCAGCACATACATTACTAGAACTTTGTTCTACAGAATGGTAACTTTCATTGTCATTTACCTGTCCCCAAATCGTCAACAGCTTCCAATTGCAAATCAGATAAAGCTCAAGAGTATCAAAGGACCTCTGTAATTGATAATTGGTTTGCCCCATTTTCTCACTATTGTCCCAAGAAAATGTTCATTCCCTTATTCAGATACGCCAGTCCACTCCTGACCTACTCACTCTGCTATACAGTACATGCTTTGTGTTAACTCCTGCATCTAAATTTTCTCTTTTCACCATTCACTTATATATATTTTGTCACTCTTTGAAAACCAAAAAACATCCTCTTTGAAAACCAGTTGTTTCCTGGCTATCTTTATTCTCCCTGAATACCCAGAGAACTCACTCATTTCTATTTGTAATGTGCAAAATTACTTTTATTTTCCTGTGTATACAGCTACTTTCTCCACATAAAGGTGTGGACATTTTCTTAGACACTTTCGTTTCTTTTATGCCACCAGTACAATGTGATTTCACATAGCATTTAAGTAGCCATTGATATTTAATGTCAATTAACATTATTCTATTTATGAAGAAATATTGGCCAATAGAGAATGCTGCTATTGAAGAGTTTCTCATAGATGATTCCCACAAAATCTTTGCAAGTGCATTAATTTGGTGGAAGAAGGAAGAAATCACACAAGGAAGGGAAGTAATCCAATATAGTCCCGTAGTGCACAATAGTAGTGGGTTATCCATACTACTATTTCACCTGTAAAAGGTTTGCCTTTTACAGCTCAGGATATTAATATGGCTTTCCTTTTTATACCTCATTTTTATACTTTTCTGCTGGATGGTCTGCATCTTGTACTGTGAATAACAACTACAAAGACAGCAATATGCAATGTATTAATTATTGTAACTGTCTTACTAACCTGTTTTGAAACTGTCTCATTGCTATTTCTTTCTCAATAAAATTAATATATATATAAAAGAATACAATAAAGTTTTTCAACTTCAGCGTATATAAAAAAAAAAGGAAGAGAAGAAGGAAAAGAAATAGGAAAAGAAGAAAGTACAGTTAAGAAAACGAAGTATGCCTTATCATTGGTCACAAAGAAGAATTTGTGTTCCTTCCAATTCAAATAATGACCAGAGAAAAATAGCAATCCTCAGTGTGTTAAGGCTTTCACAGACATCACTGCATATAATTCTGTAAGTTGCAGGATTCTACATCCACTTAATAAATTTGTATATTGAAAAATACTATGTGCTGTGGGCTCCTGAAGAGCAATGAATTACAAGTCAGGAGTCAGGGGAAGGATCACTTCAGAAGCAACATTACAGTTAGGCTTTGGAGAGAAAAGTGACATTTTAATGGATAAGGAAAAGAGGACATTCATAGGCCTTAGAAAGGGCAGAACTTACATCAGGTTGCTCTTAAGCCTAAAAAGCTCATCTTTTAATAAGTTCACTTGCATTGAACTGAGTTCTGTCATATTTTCTCCCGAGACTGATCTGGTCCGCGTGTGCTAAGGCCTTAGTCTTTACTCTGTCAGTTTGTACATAGTGGTACTTAAGAAATGTACGATGAATGAATGTGGTGCTTCGATTTAAGAGCATATCACGGAGCAGTGAACGCTCTGCCGGTTCTCAGCAGTCTTATTTTAAGAACCCTTAAGGAGCAAAATGAGATCATCTATGTAGCATGTGCTCGTGAGAGCAGCGCCAGGAATGCAAAGGACTTACCCATCCAGCAGAAAAGTATAAACACAAGGTATAAAAAGTAAAGCCATATTAATATGCTGAGCTGTAAAAGGCTCAAGTCAGCAACTTCTGACATTGCCAGACCTATGGATAACTTACAACTATCATGGACTACTGGGCTATATTGGAATATTTTGCTGAATTCACACACCTACAATATTTAAATGGCAATGGAATACTCTTCTCTGACAAAGCTAGGCCAAAAAAAGGGAAACAAATGGACTATTTTGTACCTGTATATTCAAAATAGGATAGATATACAGCTACTTTCTTTTAATTCAATGAGAAGAAATATTTGTACTACTAGTGTTTGGACAGGATATCATGTCTGCATCTTGTATTATGAATAACCACTACAAAGACAACAATATGCAATGCATTAATTATTGACACTGTCTTATTAATTGGTTTTGAAACTGTCTCATTGCTATTTCTTTCTCAATAAAATTAATTAAAAAGAAAAAAAAATGTCTACTGGCCTAGGATCAGAGAGATAGCTCTGCAGCCTAAGCACCTGCCTGGCAAGTATAAGGTCCTAAGTTTGATCTTCAGTACAATAAGTAAATAAATAGGAATACAAAGGAGATCAAGGGTAAACCAGGATGAGACAGACAGTGACAGAGACAGAGACGGACAAAGAGACACAGGGAGACAGAGACAGATAGCAGCAGCAGGACAAAAAGTAAGCAGCACCACTGAGTAGTAACGAGTGCTTACCTCTCAGAAGAATTTAGGGGAAGACCAGTGAATTTGTCATAGCCATGAGGACCATAATCCCAAAGGATTTTTTCAGCTGCTATGAAGTAGTGCCTCTGTTGACCCGCCTTAGGGTGAGAAACACCAGCTTTGCAGTTCCCAACGTTGTACTGCCCCAGCATGCCAGCTGCAGATTGGAGGACAAGCACAAACCAATGTGTAAATTAAAAGATACAGAAAAAGATTGGTAAGATTTGACTTCATGGACATTTTAAGCCTCTTTACAGAAACTTATGCTACAAACAAGAATTAAATATCCAAGGATGAATGGTGGACAGGAAGATACTTATAACACATGATGAAAGATTAATATTTTAGTCACTTTTGAAAATAAGGAAGAAAAAAGTAAGTCTCTAATCAAAAATAGGCAAGGAGTATAAGCAGATTATGCTCAAAAGAAATGACAAACATAGGGCCGGGGAGATGGCTCAGTGGAATAAGCACTTCCCTGGCAAGCGCAGGAGCCTGAGTTCAAGCCCCGGTTCCGCCAAAAAAAAAAAAAAAAGACAAACAATAAAAATAGTTCAACCTAAATAGCAATTGCATGGCAGTGTTTCTCACTGATAAAATTGGTAATGATTAAAAATACTAATACTTTTCAGTGTTGGTAGATCAATGAAGAGAAGCACACACACACCATGGGTGGAAGAATGACAGTTTCTTATTTATTTATTTATTTATTTATTTATTTATTTATTTAATTTTTGTGCCATACTGGGGATTGAAGTCAGGACCCTGCGCTTACCAGGCAAGCACTAATTCTGCTGAGCTATCTCCCTGGCAACAGTTTCTAAAAAGAATTTATCAATGTATGTTTTCACTTTTCAAAAAGGAAGTTAAAGTCTAACCCTAGGATTCCTAAAAAAGTCATTTAGTAGTATTCCTAAGGAAATATTCAGACACATGTGCAAACACTTGTAGACTGTATATAGTGGCCAAAAAAAAAAAAAAAAGGTAGGAAAGGAGAAGGAAAATGCAAGTGTTGAGCACAGTATTGGTTCAATAAATTGTGATATTCTTGTTATGAACACTGACAGCATTAACAATGATGAAGTAGCTCAATATTCACTGACATGAAATTGTTGTTCTAATACATTAATAAGGGGAATAAGTAAAATATAAAATAGTATATGAGACTGATTTTATTTATATATCACTTCTGTATTTACTAAAGGTATAGAAAATAGTAAGGGATCATATTCATGAAAATATGATGCCAATACCTCCAGATAGAGTTACTGATTTTTAAAATTCAATTATGCATATTTTTATTTTACATTAATTTTTCTGAGGATGTGAACAATTTAGGAAATACATATTGATGAATACATAAACATCTGCTTATGTCCACAACTACTGACCAAATTTAGCAATCCTATTAGTCTCAGATGGCTGCTATTTTCTTAATTTTAAGTCTAGATTTGGAATTCCTAGGTCAAAGAATTTCTCCTCAGATTTAACAGCATGAAATTCCTTAAGAATAGGAACTTTGTGTTGATCATTCTTGTCTTTTCAGACCACTACACATTAATGGATCAACTCTTGACTTGAATTTAATTGGAATAACCCAGCTGGGTAGTGCTAAGAGAAGTCATATAAGGTGGATGTGAACAAGAATGTGTTACCGAACTATCCTAAACAGTTGGACTGCTGCATCTGTTAGTGACTGTATATAGTTATTATCTTCAGAAATTACTCATAAATTATTTCTTCTGTGTTCAGTTCATTGATAAAGTGACTTCTTGTTCTTACCATCTTAGGTCAGACTCTTTGTTTGTGTTCCTTTAATGCTGCCAACTCTTGTTAAACGTCAACCAGTGGCCAGAATTTCCCCATAGCATCTTCTCTACAGACATCTATCATGGTAACCTTCCCAAACAACTGTGTTGACTACAGTATGTCAATAGTGTGTCTGAAGCTCTAGAAGGACTCACATGGCTTTCCTGGACACACTCCAAGCTCCCTAGCCCAGCTACTGAAAGCCCCTCCCATAGAGACCAATCTACATTCTTAGACTGCTCTCTCCTCACTCCTTTGGCTCAAACTATATGCTCCACATAATTAAGAACCTATTCTATATTGTCCCAAGAAACTAGGACTAAGTCATTTACAGGCATTTTTTTTTCTTTTTTTCTTTCTTTTTTTTTTTTTTTTTTTTGTACCAGGGATCGAACTTAGGACCTTACACTTGAGAGGCAGATGCTTATGCTGCTGAGCTATCTCTGGCCTCAACAGGCATTTAAGTCAACAGTGTTTATTATGCATCTGTCATAAACCATGAACAATGCTATAGGACAATGGATTTTGCCTCAAAATAAGCAAGAACATTCTACTAGATCAGCTAAGATATGAGGTGAGCTGCTACAGTTACTTGAGGTGTTCAAGAGGAAATTCAAGAATTCAGTGGGGGAATTGGTCCTAGTTAGAAGGTTCTTATTATTCTATCTATAGCCACTGACAGTTCACGTAGTTTTTCACTTCATGCTTGTACTATCTGGAAACTTTTTTCTTTGCAGTACCCAGGACCAAAGCCAGGGATGCTCTAACATTAAGCCATATCCCTTTTTATTTTTATTATGAGACAGGTTCTTGCCAAGTTGCCAGGCTGGTCTTGAACTTGTGATCCTCCTGCCTCAGCCTGCCTAGTAGCTGGGATTATAGGTATGCACCACTGAATTCAGCCTTTCTCAATCTACCCAGTTTCTACCCACATTTTAAATCTCATCCCAGGAAGCCCCTCTGTTGCTCTGAAATAGGGATAAAAGTGCCCAAAGAATATCTGTTTTTCTTGGCCCTATATTTATAAATATCTATGTCAAAGTACAAGATTATAGGTTCTTCAAAAATTTCATTTTTTTCCTTTTCTTCTTAGGAACATGATAAGTTAATATCTGTTGATAGAATGCCAACTAAATGAGCATTTTATATTTCTACATATTTAATATTTAAGTAAAAATAATACTTGTAAGAGTCTACTTAACAGTAAGTATTGGAAGCACCAATGGCTACGTGGCGTACGTATCCCATTCTAAGCAACTCCACACAGGTCTTCAAGCTCTTTACCTTGCAGGTGGTCACTGACTTGGCAGGTTATCATCCACTTCCCAGGATTCTCAACTAACATTTCCGTTGTGAGGAAGGTAGCTGGGAACAGGTTGACGACATCTGTCCGATGCCCTCTGCTGATGAAGGTGTTACCGTAAAAATAGATAGAATGTATATCTATCTCATTCCCCATTCCAAATAGGTGCCAGGACACAGATTCACCAACACACATTTCAGGCTCAGGAAAGTTTCCAAACAGGTATCCATTGAGAGCTGAAAACAGAAAAACACTAATGGAAGAGACAGAGGCAAATATGACCAGAAATATCCATAGTAATGTATACTCTAGTACAGCTGAAAATCAGAGAAGATCACTGGTGTAATGTTTTTATCCAGTTGCCCCAGAAGGGAACTTAAAGCTTTGTGTTGATCTTTTACAAGAGAAGAACACTTGCACCTGATAAAATGAAAATCAGTACAACACAGTACTATATTTCTATGTCCTCTTATGTATTATAGTACTGCATATAAGAGTTATGCAAAGTCATAAAAAGTCAGTACACACTGACAACAGCCTTTGAGTTGCTGAGTGAGCACAATCACAAGGTCTGGAGTTGAACAAGTCTCTAGGACAGCTTAGGCACCAACTATTGGGTCCTTCATTTGCAAATCTGTCATCCACATTCCTTGGGACTGGAAACCACTGGGACCCAGCAGAAAATCTAGTATGTGGTATCTGCTTAACTGGATAACAAAACAAATCAGCAAATTGATTCAAGAGCACTTACGAGATGTATTTATATTTTTTATTTTAAAAGCACATAAGAAAACCAGTTACTTAAGGGCTAGCAAGATAGCTCAGCTGACTGAGAGCCCATTTGGGCAAGCGCAGGGACCCGGGTTCCATCCCCGATACTGCATGCTGTGCCAGCCCCGCCCTTGGGTGGGCTGAGCCTTTAACCAGTCCAGGTGTGGTGGTGCACACTTATAATCCCTGCTCTGGGGAAGCTGAAAACAAGAGGATTACTAAAAATCCAAGTTGCGTAGTGAGACCCTGTACCAAATACATAAAATTAAAAAAAAAAAAAAAAACGGTACTTACTAGGCAGAACTGGGGCAGAATTTTATTGATTATGTTTATACCATAGGGCCAGTGCTGAATGCTTTTACACTATCTAAATGATAGCCAAGGAGGTCTTGGTCAAAGGAAGTAAAAATCAAAACAAACAAAGAAAAAAAAAACCCTTCATTTGGAGAACTATAAGCCAATCTCTTTAATGAGTATAGATGCAAAAGTTCTCAATAAGATGCAGGCAAACAAAATCATCAAAAAAATCATACATTTTGACCAAGTAGACATCATCTCAGGAAAGCAGGGAATGTTCAACATATACAAATCAGCACATGTAGTACACTGCATAAAATAGAAATAAGGACAAAAACCACAATCAATATCATCTCAACAGACACAGAAAAGGCCTGTAACAAAAATCCAACCTTCTTTCATGATGAAAACACTGAAGAAAACAGGTATATAAGGACCTGTCTCAACCTGAGGAAAGTCATGAACAACAAATCTGCTGCCAACATTATACTAAATGGGGAAAAACTGAAAGCTTTCCCTCTAAAATCAGATATGAGACAATACTAAGTTCATCATACTACTCAAAATATTTTCAAGAGGAATTAGCAAGAAAAAAAAATAAAAGGGATATGTATAGGAAAGTAAGAAGTCAAATTATCATTATTTGAAGATGACATGGTTCTCCACATAGAAGACATGCAAAGCCCACCAAAAGACTCTTAGAATTGATAACCAAATTAAATACTGCAGCAGGACACAACAGCAATACAAAAATCACCAGCATTCCTATGCACTAATAATGAACTCACGGAGAAAGAAATTAGAGAAAAACACTATTTGCTATAGCACCAAAAAAATGAAATATGTAGGACTTAACCTCACCAAGCAAGTGAAAGACCTCTGCAATGAAAACTACAGTGATCTGAAATGGGAATTAAAGACAACTTTAGAAAATGGAAATACATCCCGTTTCTGGACAGCAGAGCCAATTCAGTCAAAATGGCCAAATATATATATATCCCAGTGAAAATACCAGTAGCACTCTTCCCAGAACTAGAGAAGACAATCCTCAAATTCATATGGAACAAGGATAGAATAACAAAAATAATCCTAAGTAACAAGAGCAAAGCAAGAGGCATCATAATCCCAGACTCAAGTTATATTATGAAGCTACAGGATGGAAACAGTATTGGAGTGGCACAAACACAGACATGCATCATAATGCAACAGAATACAGAATGCAGAGACAACCCCAAGTATTTTTAATGATTTGCTCTTCAACAAACGGGTCAAATATATACACTGGAGCTGGTTATGGTGGCACATGCCTGTAATCCCAACGTTGTGGAGGCTGAGGCAGGGGGACTGCCTGAAGTCTGAGGCCAGTGAGTGAGTTCAAGGTCAGTGTAAACTGTGTACAGAAAACTCATTTCAAAAAACAAACAACAAAACACAGATTGGAGGAAAATAGCCTCTTGAATAAATGGTGTTAGGAAAACTGGCTATTCACCTGCAGAAGACTGAATCTAGACCCATATCTCTCACTATGTACTAAAATAAAATAAAAGCTGACTAATGAACTAAATGTTAAAATAGAAACATTAAGCAAGCAGGCAGATAAAATAGGTAAAGGCATAGGCACAGGTAAGCACTACTGAACAGAATCTTGATTGTACTGGAAATAGTACCAAGAATCAACAAATAGTATCATATCAAAGTAAAAAACATTTGCATAGCAAATGAAACAACCAGTGGGGTGAAAAGAAAACTTACAAAATGGGGAAAAAATTGCCAGCTATTCTTCATACTGTGGACTTATATCTAGACTATATAAAGAATGAAAAAATATTAGAATTCCAAAAATAAAAGACCCAGTAAAAACACGGGCAAGGAAATGAGTAGATACATCTCAGAACGAGAATCACAAATAGCCAATAAATACTTAAAGAAATACTCAGAGAAACGCAAATTAAAACAACCTTGAAATTCCACCTTATTCCACAAATAATGGCCATCATAAAAAAGAAATATAAGAGGAAGAAATGCTGACAAGGCAGTAGGGGAAAGGAGCCCTTCTAAATTGCTGGAAGGAATGTAAACTAGTACAATTACTATAGAAGTAATTATGGGCATTTTCTTGAAAAACTAAAACTAGAAATTCCTGTTGACCCACTAATCCCTGTCTATGTATCTTTGTGAAATAAACACATCATATTACAGTGCTATAAAGATGATCCATGTTTAGAGCACTATAATTTATAATAGCTAAATCTTGGAAGCAGCCTAAATGTCCACGAACAGAAAAATTGACAAGGGAAATAAGGTACTCCCTTTATACTCAACAGAGTATTACTCTGCCATAAAGAAAGATAAACAAGTCATATATAGGAAAATAGATGTTGAGTAAGACCATAATGTTAAGTGAAATAAATCAGACATGCAAGCTTAAATAATGCACGGTTTCTCTCATATGAGAAACCCAAATTATAAGTAAAGAGCAAAAGAAAAGCTAACAGAAAGTAGGGAGATAGATCATTGTCAAATGTGAAGGGGATCAAGAGATTTGGGGAGTGGGGAGAGAGAAGGAAGGGGGTAAAAAAGGAATTCAGATGCGTCAGCTACATTTATCAGCTCCATGAAAGCAAGGTGGACATTATACTACACTGCAAACATACTAATACAAACAACGTAAAGTAGCATATACTCTTCTATTTTAAAAGCTGCTATGTATACCATAATCCTTAAAATTTAGCAGCCATGAAGAAAACGGTTACTGAATAAGAGGCTGCAAGACATTGGATTTTCTTTTTCTTTCTTTTTTTCATTTTACGTTTGGTACAGGGTCTCACTACGCAGTTTGGACTGGGAGTGGTCCTTCTGTTTTCAGCCTCCCCAGTGCTAGGATTAGAGGTGTGTGCCACCATGCCCAGACTCGGCAGCTGGCTCAGTGCACCCCAGAGGTGGGCCAGTTCAGCATATGGGACCAGGGATGGAACCCTGGTGTCTGCACTTGCCAAAGCAGGTGCTTGGTCCACTGAGCTATGTCACTGGCCTTCATTTTCTTTTTTTAAGAATGGCCTGAAACCAGTCCCTTCACACCGAGCTATGTACCTCAATCCTTTATCTTTTAATTCTGAGACTAAGTTGACTAGGCTAGGCTTAGACTTGTGTTCCTACTACCTTGGCCTCCCACAGAGCTGAGATTTTAGGTTTGTGTCATTACTCCTGGTAAAACGCAGGATTATTATTTGCATGTAGTGATGATTTTACTTTACTTCCTGTTAATCTAAACCCACCTGTTTTAGGGGCTCACGCAAGCCATGGATTCTTTCTTGATTATAACACTGATCCACCTAGTTTCTGTACCACAATTTTCCATTTTTCATATCCAATTTAACTTGTAGCCATGGCCTTATCCTCTCTCAAATTGTGCAGCATCCAACATACCTGTGTCTTATATCACTTTCACAGCAATGCCGTTACTACGTTAACTAGCCTCGACATCTCCATGTCTCATGTCTCTACCCACAGTACCTCACAGAGCAGACAGCGCTGGCTCGTGTTTAAGGACATACGGGAAGTACGCACCGTGCATTTTGTTGCTCCTCTGGAAAACAGCATCATCTTTGTCAACTGAATCTGGGTCAGTGCAGAAATGTCTGATGTTTTCATCCAGGTACCAACTCTGATTCTCATCCACAAGGGTAAACATGATAACAAACTCGCGGTCCACATCAGTCCTTGTCCCTGAATATTTATTCAGGACACCTACCAAGCACAGCCAAGGGAGCAGAGAAAAAAGTTTCAAGTGAATTAAATCAAAGTGAGGTTTTCTTCTTGGCAGTGATGTCAGGGAGGTCTGACGTTTGTTGAAGACAAAGATAACGCACCAACCGTAATACAGAGGGCCAAAAGGGCTTCGATGAAATGACAGAATTATAGAAAAGTCACAATTGTCCAAGCTAATTTAAGCAGTTAATGTTTAAAATTTTTCCTCTCTTTTTAATTTTTGTTGACCAACTTTGCATAATTATGTCTGATAATCTGAACAACTAATTTGAAGACAATAATAGGCAACATAACAACCATTGTGGAATTCCTATCATTTTGTTTAGTGACATGCTGTATTGTTTCTAATGTTTTTTTTAAAAATCTCATTTTCTTTAAAAAAGAAAAAAAATCACAGCAAAAATCTTTGCAACTACAGACTTGGAAATCTGGCTATACTGCTGACAAATCAAAACTCAGTTGATAGGGAATAAACAGCACACTAGCCGAATGGAATACAAAGCAAAGGGTATCCTCGGCCATTTAGCTGGGACTTTTATATGTATTAAATTCTTTTCTTTCTTTTTTTTTTTTTTTTCCTTATTTTGCTAGTGCTGGGATTGAAACCAAGCCATTTAATGCTAGGTAAGTACTCTTTTAATGAGCTATACTTGCAGGCCTAAATTTCTTTATAAATGAAAGCATATGTTTTGTAATGTCATGCAGATTCTTAAATATAATGAAGATTATTACCCTTTGCCTCTGTTAGACTGGTTTTCCATATTAGAAGAATTGCCCAGAATTTAAAAGTGCAGGAGCAGCAGCAGCAGCATATTTGATGTACAATGAAGGTGGTAAGTGAATCAAGACCAGAATCTTAGTCACACTTCCAACAAAGCAGTCGCTGGCTGGGAACCAGCTTCTGCTGGGAGGCTCCTTACCTTGCTTACACACCAGCAGAGGGCCAATCAGCCCAGAGCAGATGTCCTTAGGGGCATCAATGTGTGAGTGGTACACCCAGGTCAGGCAGTTGGCATCTGCAGGAGCAGGTGCATACTCTTCTTGCACTGGCCAGACATAGGTGTAGTTTTTGCCAGGAGGAACCATATCATCATCCTTGTTTCTTCCCGATGTTCCATCTGGATATAAGGCTCCTTCCAAGAAAAAAATAAAAAAACAGTTAAAACATAGAGAGCTTATTCTATGGTAGAGAGGGCAAGAGTTTGGGAATCATACATAACTGAAGTAAAATGCACTTGCTATGCGACTTGAGGCAAGTTACTTCACCGATCAATGCCTTTGTTTTCCCTGGTAAACTGGAATGTTGGTAGCTATCTCATAGGAATATGAGAACTAAACGAGGCAATGTATCCAGAGCGCTTTGCTCAGTACTTAAGAAATGTTCATAATAATTTCTGGTGGGTCGACTGCACTGGTAAGGAGGATTCAATTCATGAAGGGAAGGGGAAGCAGCAGAAGAACAATGAACACACCGTTGGGGATGTCACGGGCTGAACTCCATATAGACATCAGGGGGATAAGAAAGAATGGTAAGACATGCTTTCCAGACAACTGGAAAAGAAAGCAGCGTGCTATGTGAAATGTAACTTTAAATAAAAATACGCACGCTATACACAAGCTGAAGGATCTATCAGAAAGTGGGATTAGTGCACAGAGAAGCCTCTTGCTCATTTTTATAAACTAAGAGTGCATGATTAAAGGAAGTCCGCTGATAAAACTGGTGTGAAAGCCACCCGGAGAGCAGGAAGGTCATCAATCTGTGCATGTTACAAATACCAGATACTTCAGGTGGTATGTGAGGGGCCTTGAAGGATGTAAAGCACAGGCTGATAAATGTGCTGGGCATTAGGGGAAAAGTCAAGTAACACAGCAAGCACCAGAATAGCTGAGGCAAGCTCAAGAAAAAGTAAGATCAAAAGTCTAAGGTCACCTTTTTAAAAATTAGAACATATTTGTAATGCAAAATGTTTACACTCGGCGTGAGGGACTGGTGCACAAGCATCACGTGTCTTAACACCTTTGTGCACTTGCTCTTTCCTTCCCTCCCTCTCTGCTCCATCCATCTCTTGATAGCCCTCCTCTTTGAGAAAGAGTCACCTTCTTACATCCTAGTATCTGTCTTTTTAACAAATTTGGTCATGAAGACATAATTGGTCTTTGAGAGAAGGATGCCAGAAAGAACAGTGAAGCCCCTAGTATGTGCCAGTCTAGTAGGCACTCTGTATATATTATCACATTTACTCTTCAAAGCAACCCCATATGGTAACTGCTAATACCCACTAGTATGGCATTAAAGCCGCCAGCATGTGAGGGCCGGCCTGATAGCTCAGCAGACTAAAGTGCCTGCTCCGGCAGAGCAGCTGCCAGGTTCAATCCCCAGCATGCTGTACTAGCCCTGCCCCCCGGGGCACGCTGAGAGAGCTATGGAGACCGTGTGTGGTGGCACATGCTTGTAATCCCTACCATTTATTTATTTATTTTTTTAAATACTTTTATTGAGAAACAAATAGCAATGAGACAGTTTCAAAACCGATTAGTAGGACAGTTTCAATAATTAATACATTGCATATTGTTGTCTTCTTAGTGGTTATTCATAGGCTGTAAACAGAAGAATCGCTAGGAGTCTGATCTACTTAGCAATAACCTGAATGCCCTATACACCCTGCCCTAAATACAGGAAAAAAAAGAGAAGAAAGGCCTGAATGCTACTACAAAGACAACAGTATGCACTGTATTACTTATTGAAACTGTCCTACTAACCTGTTTTGAAACTGTCTCATTGCTACTTTTCTCAATAAAATTAATATTAAAAAAGACCTGCAACCTGTACCAGAAATAAAGTCTCAAAATACTAAATTAAAAAAAAAAAACCTATCAACGTGTGACTGAGGCAGATTAGAATCCACTGTGTGACTGACTTCCCATGAAAATTATTGAGAACATAATAAATGGATTATTCTTTTATTTAATCATACTTTACATATTATCTTTCACTTATTACATATTAACTTTTAATTACTTTTTTATTCAAAAAATAATATGAATTTTAAAAATTAAACCTAAAGACTACGTGATACTCAAGAGATGAAAGTCATAAGAAAAAAATTTAAATAAAGGAAACAAAAATATAAAGTTCTTTGCAGCCCTTTCATATTATGGGAAGCACTGAATTTCTGGTTATATGGTTAAAATGGACTCAATATATGAGGTTACATAATTATATTATTTCATTCTCCAATAAAAAAAAAAAAGTTCTTTAAGATAGAGAAACTTTTTTTTTTCCCCCGGCAGAAATGGGGATTGAACTCAGGCCTTTATTCTACTGTACTATCTCCCCGGCCCCAGGAATTTTCTACTAGTACAAAATTCTGAGAGAATCTTCAAGAGAGTTGTTATATATAAATTACTGAATAGTATGCTGAGCTATATCTTAATGTTTTCAAGGACAGCTTACAAAAGTTGGCAAGTTGGTGCATACTTTGTAATCCCAACACTCCCAAGGCTGGAGCAGAAGGATCACAAGTCTGAGCCCAGCCTGGACATCTTAACAATTTAGCAAAACCCTATCTCAAAGTGAAAAATGAAAAAGTGGGCATTGGGGAGTAGCTCCGTGTGAAGGCCCTGTGTTTCACACACACACACACACACACACACACACACACACACACACACAGTTTCCAAAAGATAAAAACACTGTTTTAAAAATATTTTCTTATCTCTAAATTTGAGTTGAGACTACATGGTATTTTAACAAACCAGTTTTTACCAAAACTTCTACTTAACTACTGTAGCTTGCTGTTTTCTGATTGAGCTAAATGGAAGAATTAAACACTAGAAACATCCAAGAGCTAACCTCCACATTCATTAAATTCAAATGACATTTAAAAAGATAACTTGTGGTCCTGGGGGATAGTTCAGGGGCATAAGTGCCTGCCTGGCAAGCACAAAGTCCTGAGTTCAATCCCTGGTACCAAAAAGATTACTTGTGTTACCTGGTTTTCTGGCAGTATTTGATATCACAGTCAGCTCCTTCCCTCCTTAAACAATTGTCTTCCCTTGACTTCTGGGACATTACACTGTCCTCTTGGCCACTCTTCGCTAGGCTACTTTTCCAGCTCACTCTTATCTATCTGCCATTCACTGTGAGAAACATTTGGGAACAATGCTGGCTCCTTCCTTCCATGCCCAGGGTGTTCCTTCCCTGACTAATGGCACCATCTCCACCGTGTCACCAAGCAGCCACATGCCAGTTCCCCAACCTGAACTTCACCCCTGAGCTTTTCACTGCTATCTGTCTACTTGACATCCCCACGTACGAATCTCAGAGGATCTCAGATGCAACCTTTCCTGGAGAGCATTAGCTCCTCTCTGCCAAGTCTGCCCCTTAGCCACTGCCTCCTCTCTCACTGAAAGTCACGGTGGCGATCCAACTCCACTGGCCAGAAACAAAAGAAGCATTCTTGTTGCATTCCCCCTCTACCCCTTTTCAACAGGGCCTCACTATGTACACTGGCCTTTGAAATCACTATGTAGTTTCGACAGGCCTGAACTCACTGCAGTCCTTCTGCCTCCACCACCTGAGTGTTGGTATTGCACCACCATGCCTGGCTAAAGGCAACATTCCTATCTCTTCTTCTCTCCTTCCCTCCCCCATTTCCAAGCAATAACAAGGCCCTGCTTCTTCCCCATCACAACCCTCTTCCAAACTGCCATCAGCTCTCCCATAGGGTTCTCGGTTATCTTCTAGCTGGCTTCCCTCCATCTCTTGGTCCATTTTGCAAGCTACAGCAAGAATGATCTTTCCACTCCTCAAATCTAACTGCCTTTCTTAAAATCACTCCATGACTTCCAGTCTGTATTGGGATAAAAGTCAAATGTTTTTAACATAAATTCTAAGCCTCAGCAAGGTCTGACTCAAGCAATCCTAAACTCCCTGAACTAGGTCAGCTTTTACAAAACACATTTACACAGGAGGAAGGCTATGGTTAAGTTCATAGTCCCTGAAATTAGATTGACTAGAATTAGATCCTTTATCAGTTATTATCTATGACCTGGAAACTTGCTTTTTTCTTATGAATTTCACCTGTAACATGATGATAATAATAATATGCCTCTCATAGAGTTAAGGTATTTGATATAACATTTATAAAGCTCTTATTACAATGCCTGGTATATAGGAACCATTTGATAAATATTGGCTAACATTTATTCAGAGAAGTTACTTATGTTCTTAAAAATATAGTGTGTATATATATATATATATATATATTACAGTCATACTTTATAGAGTGGATGCATTTTTTTATTAATTTCCATCTCTCCTGTTAAGACTGCAATTTCCATGAAACCAAGCACAAGTGTGACAGTTTAGCTTAACTGTCAACTTGGCTCGATAAAGAGGCTTGGGGGGCTGGTGAGATGGCTCAGTGGTCTAAAGCACCTGCTTAGAACAAGCTTAGCGAAGCACAGGGACCGCGGTTCAATCCCCCAGCACCACATGCCAGCCAGCCCCACCCCCTGGTGGGCTGAGCTGGCCACACACACAAATAAATAAATAAAAATTTTTAAAAAAGAAAGAAAGAGGTTTGGGAGGTGACAGGCTCATGGGTGTGCTCTACTCATCGGTAGATGAGATGGCTGATTTTCATAGCTGAGGGTACTGGAGCCAGGGGTGGGGGCGGGGTGGGTCCCCAGGCCCTGCCTTTGGAATTACTCTTCCCCTGTGCTGTGCTTCTCAGCTACCACAACCTAAGCAGCTTTGATCTACTGCGCCCTTCCACCATAGCACTCCTGCCTTGGAACCAGGCTGTGGGAAACCAATACCTCTGAACCCATGAGCCAAATGAAATAAGATACCAAAGCACTATTCACTGAGTTGTATATGCTCACAGGTATGTAGCCTTTTAAATTTTATGAACTAGTCTAGGACCCTGGAAGAGGATCACAAGTTCAAGCCCAGCCTGAAAAATTTAGCAAGACCTCGTCCAAAGATGAATGTTAAAATTATAGCATATTGTTTCCCACCCATCAGACCTGAAAATATTAAGAGTAAGTGGAGTTTGGGAAGAAATAAACCAGATCATAAAAAAAGAATAAACTATGTAATTTTATGGAAAAGTATCCGTCAACTCTT